GTCGAGGGAGGCCGCCCAAGTCCCACCTGGTGACCGCATCGCGGAGGTCCAGGGTCTCTGTTACGTGTGCGTCCCCGCATCAGGGTGCCCCGAGTGGTGGATCTGTGAAGCGCTGTGCCGAGAAGCAGAGGAAGGCGGTCCCAGCTGCCGGCTGGAAAACGGAGGAGTGCGACGCACACCCACTGGCCACAGCCGCCCTGCTCTCAGAGGCACTCCCCAAAGGGGCAGGTTCCGGGGGGCCCGCCCGGCTGCCCCCGTGTCTGCACGTGGAGGGTTCTGTGTCCACCGACCTCCTCCGAGGTGCTCCGGAGACCAGGCTGCCGTGCTTCCTGGCGGTGCCCCGGGCCGGGCAGGTCGGGGAGGGACGGTCACGCCTCCTCGCAGGCCAGGTTGGGGCTGCTCCGGCTCCGGAGTCTCCGAGCATGTTGTCTCTGTCACATCCGCAGGTCAGATGCACAGCAAGGGTCTCTGGGGGCGGGTTTCACTCTTGAAAACCCTGCTCTGGTCTTTTCTGCCGTTGGGCTGGGGCCTCTCTGCCTGTCTCACCCGAGTCGTGGCTCCTTTGAGGCCACTGAGGCTGCAGGCTCAGTGGCATCGTTTCCTGCCCCGGGCGCCGGTCCTCATGGTCCCCCTGCAGCTTGTGGCATCCTGGGCACACAGGCTTCGCTCTCGGGTATCTCGGGGGACCGCTGGACCCGGCACAGGGAAGGTGACCAGATTTCTAGCCTGCAGCGCTCCCATCCTTGCCCTCTGACGAGGCAGCACCCTGTATTTCAAACTGTGTGACCGCCTGGCGACTCCTGGCCAGCGGCAGTTCTGTGCCGGCCACGAAGCGGGGTCCCGGGCCGCCCTCCCCGTCGCTGCCTGGGGGGCGTCCTTTGCAGGGTGACTCTCCCTCCTGGACTGAGCCTCCAGAGTTTTCTTGTATTTTCTTCATCTTTTCCGGGAGGTGTTTTCAAGCCTGTCACCCAGCCTTCCTTGTGAAGTTTTCTTTTGTGTCACATTTACTTGTCCAGGGTCCTTGTTTTTCCCTGGAGGTGCCTTTTGGGGCTGCAGCCCGTGGGTGGCCACGGTGGTGCCCCCTCCCGTCCCGGGGACACAGGTGGTCCGTGTCCTCTCTGTGAGGACTGAATGACGACAGGGAAATTATGTTTCTTTTCTGACAACTTCCTGTTGGTGAGGCCGGTGGGAGGCTTCCTCCCTAAGAACAAGATGGGAGTGAAGGTGGGTGACAGCCCGAGTCCCCGAGGCTCATTAGTGGCCGAGCGGGGCCAGACCAGCCTTCATGCAGGGATCTCTGAGCTGATGCTGAACAGGGCAGCTTCACAGGGAACCGAGGCAATACCAGTTTGGCCCAGTTTCCAGGAGCCCAGGCTTCTGGACACTCCCAGACTAGAGTGGGCCCGGGCGTAGGAGCTTCAGGGCAAGAGCGTTTTAAAAAACAGCTTCTGATTCCACCGCAGTGAGAAGCCCACGCGCCGCAACGAAGACCCAGCGCAGCCAAAACTAAATAAATAAATTTATATGAAAAAATAATAACAGCTCGATTGGGTGCAGCTCATACACTGCACAAAGAACCCACTCGGATCGTCCAGGCCAGTGGTTTTCAGGAGACCCAGGGAATCGTGCAGCTGCTGCCACAGCCTATGGTTGGGCGTTTGCATCGCCTCCAAAGGAAGGAAGCTCCGCGCCCGTCTGCAGGACCCCCACCTCCGCCGGGCAGCCACCAGACTACTGTCGCTTCTGCAAAGCAGGGCGAGAATTCTGTGCAGGACTCGGGTGCTTGCGCGGAGCCTCCCTTGGGCCGATGGGCGGTGGTTTCCAGGGCGCATCCCCACCTTCGACAGGAACCCTGACGCACGGGCAGAGTGCGCCTGGGTCCAGCCTGAGTGCAGCCTGGACGTGGAGCACCTTCAGGAGAGTGGCTCTAACTGCAGAACGCGCTCATTAAAGCTCCAGCCGGGGCCCTAAACCAGAAGGAAAATGTTCCAGGGAGAGAAGTAACAGCTGGCAAACTCGGTGGGCACCCTGGGGAGGCATCTGTTTAAAATTAAGCAGCTTCCTGCTTAATTTCTCCTCCTCCTGGGTAAGAGATCAGCTGCCTCAGGATAATTTTTGGAAGAGTGAGTCAGGAGATGCTTTTGAAATGGCTGTTGCAGTAACTAATGTGAAAATGTTCATGGTTAAACCTTAGTTGGAAAATCACCGTTCCAGTAGGAAACTGTCCTGCTGCTATCAGTTATGGATGGCAGTAGACTTTGCCACTGATGACGTGCCCAAATCCCTGACCTATGAAACGCTGTGCTTTGTTTCACTGAAACCCCAGTCTGTGTGCATGTGCTGTCTGTCTAGCGTCTTGGATTTGAACCGGAAAGCGTCTTGGAGGTGATCTCTCCTGCCCAGGGCATCCAGGGCTGCAGAGGGGTTACAGCAGGTGGTCCCACAGCAGAAGTCATGCTGGGAAGCAGAGGGAAGGGGGCCTGACGATGCTCCCCGGCACCTGCCTCCTCAGCCCAGGGCCAGGCAGGCACTGACCCCCGCCCAGAGCTCTTCTCTCTGGATCTCGTGCCTTTTCTCATCTTCACCCTGAACCCCATTTTCTGAGATTCCCCGCCTGTCTTGTGACCTCTGTCAGAGGCCAGAAGCCACAACCTCTTTCTAGTTGGTATTGACGTTGTAGTTGTAACATGATCTTGACGTTGTAGCCCGATGTCATGTTAACACAGGGACTTGCACTACGCGGGAAGTCAGAACTCCACGGATGTCGTGTTAACACGGGGACTTGCACTACGCGGGAAGTCGGAACTCCACCGATGTCGTGTTAACACGGGGACTTGCACTACGCGGGAAGTCGGAACTCCACGCGCCTCTGGCAGAGAGTAACACGTAGCTTGTTCTGTTAATTTGCAGCAGTTGAAGGAAGAGACAAATGGTAAAGGGACGTAGAAACTCTTTTTTAACTGTCAGCACTACTGCCTTCCTACCTAGCACTGGTGGAACAGGTGTGTGTGTGCGTGCGTGTGTGAGTGCGTGCATGTGTGTGTGTGCACAGGCACCCCTGCTGTTCATCCAGTCCTGTCCTTCGCAGGTGGAGCTCACCTCAGCCGCACTCTGCTCACCTGTGTGGAGCCCTCAGCCGGTTCCCAGGCTCAGGGACACTGGGCCCATCTCGGACTTGGGGATGCACGTTGACTCTGACTTACAAAAGCTGACCAGCCTCTGGGTCTGGAGAGACCCTCGGCCTCAGAAAGCATCTTAGGCAAATGTGTGATGTCACTTTCTAGCCAAAATACTGACGGAGGAAGTTTCCATTGGGTGGTGGGGAAACTAAAGAAAGTGGAAAGGACAGCAAACGTTTCTTTAACTGGCTTTACAAGAAGGAGATGGCCGGCGATTTTTGAATAGCCTGGGGCGGCCCTATAAGCAGAACCGGAGGGATGGTGTCGCCATTCCAGACCTCCCCACCCTCAGCCCTGACATTTTGGTGTTTAGGCTGAATTTCCCAGAATCAAAACAGCATCAAACAGGAAAACAGCTTCTGTTGGAACAGTATCAAGATCCCTTTGTTCTGCTTTTAGATTTGGAAATACAAACCTGGTAGCCGTGGGTCCCAGTGTCTTGGTGCCTCACTGCCTGCTGCAGGGCTCTGCCTGGACAGCCACATGCAGCCGCTCTCTGCTTGGTGTCTCTGGAAGAATCTGTACTGGCCAGTGAGGCCAGCTGGAGTTCCTGATTTTCCCTGTGAGATGCAGGCAGGGGCTCTCAGAGTAGACGCTTGTACTGCTGAGTCATTTCCTGAGAGGTGGGTCTCCCCGGCGGAGGGCTCGCGAGCACCCCCGTTGGGTGCTGGGCTGCCAGGTCACCACCTGCCATGTCCCAGAGCCTGTTCTTCAGTCTTGTTTCTTCCAAGTTTTTTTGTTTTGTTTTTTTGCGATACGCGGGCCTCTCACTGTTGTGGCCTCTCCCGCTGCGGGGCACAGGCTCCGGACGCGCAGGCTCAGCAGCCATGGCTCACGGGCCCAGCCGCTCCGCGGCATGTGGGATCTTCCCGGACCGGGGCACGAACCCGCGTCCCCTGCATCAGCAGGCGGACTCCCAACCACTGCGCCACCAGAGAAGCCCCGAAGTTGTTTTGATAAGAGAAAAGGGAATTGGATTGAAGCGGTGCTTGCTGTGTGGGTGGGAGGTGGGAGGTAATTGGCTACTTGGTGAATTGAATTGAATTGAATTGGCTGGACCAAATATCAGGGACTTTTCGGTGTGCACCCGCCGTCTGCTAACCACAGTTAGCAACTTGTGGATAACTGGTCAGTTTAGACATTAGAAGGTGTGCTTGACAAGTAATGCCCTGCTTTACAGGTCAGAGTTTGTGGGAGGGAGATGAGCCCTGGGTTCCTGTGCGCACACAGGGAGGGACTGGGGTCTGCAGTGGCCTGGGGCGGGCGGTCCCCTGCCAGTAGAGGAGACGAGGCTCGGGGCTCGTGAGGCCAGAACGGACGGTGAAGACAGCCAGTTCCCTCGGGTTCCAGGCGCTTCCTCCGAGACCCCCGCCGGCGCCTCTGCAGGTAGCGCTGACGCTTTTCCCAGGCAGCGCTCGCTTTCCATCTTCTGGGTGACGGGCATCTGTCGTTAAAAAGCTGCCCTGGAGGTGACCGCGGCGTTTCGGTTTCCCAAGGAGCGTTCTCTGCCCGGTGCTGGATCCATGTGGCAAGTGTGGCGGACCGGAAGCCGGCTGGCCATCTGGAGCCCGTGTGGGAGGGGACACCAGGGGGCTTGTCCGGGCTGGAGGTCTTGCTGTCGCATGCGTGGTGGGGGGAGCCCGGTGCCCTCGCCGGCCTGTCCCGAGGGAAGCGGAGGTGGCGTGGTTTGGGCGCAGGTTTGGGCACGTGTGTGCGCGCGCGGCGTGGTCGGAGAGCGCACTGGCTGGTGAGGGGCGGCGTAGACGCGCCGGGACACTTCTTCCCCGCTGGACCTAACGTCCCGCCCCCCTCCCATTGCAGGTGCACCTTCCGCTTCCCCAGCACGGCGATAAAGATCCAGTTCACGTCGCTGTACCATCAGGAGGAGGCCCCGGCGTCCCCCCTCCGGCCGCTCTACCCGCAGATCTCCCCGCTGAAGATCCACATCCCGGAGCCGGACCTCCGGAGCCTGGTCAGCCCCGTCCCCTCCCCGACTGGCACCATCAGGTGAGTGGCCTGGCCCCCTCATACGGTTGCCTCTGCAGAAGCCGCGGCCCTGTGCTTTCGAACGCGGCCAAGAAAGAGGAAAGTGATATGGGTGTTCTGTGTTTCATACAACATCAAGTATGGTTCTGGAAAATTGCCCATGGATGGAAATTTTGAAACTATTTTAGGTGCATCAGGGGACCTGAGGACTTAAACTCTCTAGAGAATTCTTTTATAAAGTGAAGAATCGCTACTTAATTAGTCCCTTTTCCAGGTTGAAATTTTATATCTTGGGGTCTTTTAAAACAAGCTTAGGTATCAGTTTTTAAAGACAGTGAAACTATTTAAAAGGAGTATTCGTATACCAGGATTTGGTGGACTAGGTTTTTCTAAACTTTATTTGTAGAAATCCTTTGCAAAGCTTTAGAAATTAATCTAGATTTTGAAGAAAGGGATGTCCTCGAACTTTCTCATCCTTGGCGTGTTATACAGAGAGGGTCCCTGGGGGCAGGTCTGAGGGTGAAGTGTGTAGCCAGAGGCTGGGGAGGGGACTGGTGAGCTGTCCCCTCTGAGGGGCACAAGTACTTTTGCGACAACAGGGGTCCTATGCCTTCTTCCCCTTTTGTCGTAAAACATGTCGAAAGACATGGACTTGAGGATCAAGATTTAATAAACTTTAAATAGTTTACGGCTTCATTGAGGACATTTTAAAACAAAGCTGGCCTTTTCCTTATTGGTATGTGCGGGCCTGGCGATGCCACGAGCACCGGTGCATTTGGTGCTGGTGCCTCGGTTCCTGCCACGCACTGCGCTCGCCACCGCGGACTGGGCATCGTCAAACGTCAGCCCATGGAGGAGGCAGAGAGTGCTCGGTGTCGCCCCGAAGCCAGTTTCGGCCTCACACGCCCCCTGAAATGGTCTCGGGGCCCCGGGGTGCCTCTGGGAACCACACTCTTGAGAAGCACTTCTCAGCAGAGCTCGAGCTTTGCGTCCGAGTCTTACCAGGTCTCTCCTCTGGCTGACCAGCCAGGCTCGTGGTCCCTGATTTTGCACCTGTAAGGGTTACGCTTAGAAGCACAGATGGGTTAATCATGGCATCACCATTGGTTTCCCTTTTGCCTTTTGTTTTCCTACCATGATGTGTGGAGTCATTTGCATTGAGTTGCTTGGAGTCAGTTTCCTCCCGAGCCAGTGAGCAGGCAGGCGCGTTTCTCTCACGGAGAGAAAGTTCAGGGACGGCTTTGAAATGTCACAGACCTGAATTCTGGTTCTGGCCGCACCTCCAGTTGGTGGGAGAACTGGGGGCAGGTCCCTGCAGCCTCCTTGGGCTTCGTTTTCTCCCTCAGTGAATCCCTCCAACATCGCAGACGTCTGGGACGCCAAGGAGGAGCAGTGAGTGACGGAGACCCGCTGTATGCCAAGCCCTGCGCTCAGCCGCTGGAGTGTGTTATTTTATTTAGTCCTTAGGGACTTATGAGATAGATTTTTTTTCTTTAGTTCTTTTCAGGTTTCCAGCAATAGCTCTGTTCTCAAACCCGAAATTTAGCACGTCATCTCACTGTTCTTTCAGACATCTACCTTGAGAATAATCTAAAACATGAGGGCTGCACCGGAGTTAACGGTGAAGGTGTGCTGTGAAAATGCTCTTTTGCACGACTTACATGTGTATAATTTATGCACAGATAAAAACTTTTGTGTAGTAAAATGAAGCAGCCACTTTGGAATACAGTCTGGCAGGTCCTCAAAATGCTAAAGGGTTACCTTAACCGCCCAGCAGCTCCCTGGGTCGTGAGGTCTCCGTGGAAACTCATCCACAAGGGTTCATGGCAGTGTTATTCATAGCAGCCCCCAAAGTGGAAATAGCTCACGTGTCCATCAGCTGCTGAGTGGAGAGAAAATGTGTTACAGCCACAGGGTGGAGAGAAAAATGTGTTACAGCCACAGGGTGGAGGGTCATTCCGGCATAAAAAGGAATGAAGTGCTGACACCTGGTACAACATGGATGACCCCGAAAACATGATGCAGAGTGAAAGCAACCAGTCCCCAGAGACCACACATTGTGTGATTCTGTTGATATGAAATGTCCAGAATGAGCAAATCCTTAGAGAAAGAAAATAGGCTGCCAGGGTCTGGGGGTTCAAGGGAGTGGGCTGCACACTGTCACAGAGTTTCTTTCTGGGGTGGCGACAGTATTGTGGAATGAGGTGATGGTCACACAACTCTGGATGCACTAAAAACCACTGAATTGTACACTCGTAACGGGTGAATTGTGTAGTGTGTGAATTATAGCTCAGTGAAGCTGATAAAAAAGCTTGTATGGACTGACACCTTTATCCAGTAGCACCTCAGAGCGGCTGCAGGAGCAGTGGCCAAGTGTGTTTTACGTGCCGTTGGGAGCCAGACAGGCGTGTGGGCCTTGGAGCCCTTACACGCCTGGTGAAACCAGAGCCCGAGGTCAGCCTTAGACTGGCCTGGGGCTGCTAATAATCAGTTCATAATCCAGCCACATCGATGCTTTTTTTTTTTTTTTTTTTTTTTTTTTTTTTTTTTTTTGGCGACGCTTTAAGAAAGAAAAATGTTTTGGTTTGGTTTGTACCTGGAGGTCTTCATAAAATAGATATAATTCCCAGTAACATTTTGAATAAAAACAGTGGCCAGCAGGCTGAGCTAGTGCAGCAGCTCCACGTGCTGCGGCCACCTGTGTGTTAGGAGGCGCCGGCGGTTCTAAAGGGGCGTAGATGGTGTCACTGAGCAGAGTGAGGCCGGTGTCCCTGCGCAGTTCTGGGAAGTCGCGGCCATGTGACTGTGGAGACCCCGGGCCCGAGTGGGGTTGGGGCGCTGGGCCACTCGCCTCTGGTCTTCATCCGGTAGAACAGCTTTGCGGGGAAAGTAGTAACTTTGAGACTGACTCTTTCACTCTTGGGCCTTTAAGTGTCACAGAAAAGGATTTCTGTTTACATCCGTTTATCTCGGCGCTGCCGAATCCGATTGCCCGCTGGAAACCTCAGAGGCCCTTGAGGTTTTGCTGCCCAGATCCTTTTCCTGCGCGCCCGGCGCAGGCGCGGGGCCGGCGTGTTTACAAACAGCTGCCTCCGCCCACCCCGCCCGGGCACCCTCCCTGCGCCCGTCGCCCATAGCAGGTCCCCGGGGAAGCGGGCGGGCTGGGAGACCCCGGCCGGCAGCGGCCCGCGCCCCGCTCCCCGTCCGGGTACCCGTCCCTACGCCCTACGCTCGCCCTCTCCGGCCCCGGGGGTTGACCCCGACCCCAGCCCCTCTGCACTCCCCACCTGGGAGTGCAGCCCTGGAGTCTGGGAGAGGCCCAGTGGTGCGCCCTGGCCAACAGCTACACCTGAGTCTCTGAGGCATTGCCCAGAGGCCTCCCAGAGTCAGTCAGCTGTGCCCCCAGAGAGAAGGTGGTACTGCAGCCCCGAGGCTGCCATGGGCGCAGCCAAGGTGAGGCCTGGTGACCCGGGGGCAGTGGCAGGCTTGTGCTCCCTCCTCCCGCCTCCACTGGCCGACCTGGCTGGAGGCCTGGCGTCAGGCTGGCAGGACGGGAAGAGCCGCCCAGAGGCCAGAAGGGCGGCCTCTGCTCTGCTGGCCTGTGTCCATGCCGACTGCCTCCACCCGCCCCTCCTCCCACCATGGCGGCTCCCCAGACGGGGCCGCAGCTCAGCCCTCGGTTCTGTGCAAGAGCCCCAGACCCAGGGCAGTGGGTCCCGGGAAACCTGAGCCCAGGGAGGCTCCACACTGCTCTGGGAGCTGGCAGAACAAAGGCGATGTCTCAGCCCCGGCTTCCATGCTGGGCTGGGTGTCCCCAAGGGCACTGCTGTCCCGTCTGGTCCCCTCCGCCCAGCACGACGTGGAAAGCACCTGCCGGGCTGTGGTCAGCCTCCCGGCTGCGTCAGGGCAACACCTCCCGGGGCCAGCCCCACTGGAGCAGCCGCCCAGTCCTCCACCTCCAGCCCACAGGGCCTATTTCTTCATCTGGATCACAGAGATGGTCTTGGAAGCCACGTGGCGGGGTAGGAAGTGCCTGCATGTCTGCTCCAGCCCACGCCCCACCCTGGGGACGCGCCTGCTGGGTGGGGCCTTGGCTAGGAGGGAGCCAGGGCGGGGCCCGGAAACAGGAGGAGGGGGGAATGGGAGGGGCTCCAGCTCGGTCAGAACTGCCTGGAGGGAGGACGCTGAGTGCCCCGGGGCGGGGCGGGGCGGGGCGGGGCGGGGCGGGGGCGGGTTCTGCGGGGTTTTTTCCCTGCTCCGAAGTCCTCCACCCAGAACATGAATGAGCTCTCTTGTTAAGAAAAATGTTGAAATTCAACCAGAGAAAGGGAGCAGCACAGAAAGAGAGCAGCTAATTTATACTAAGTTTTTAGAAGCTATTTCTTGAGGAAGGCGTTTCTTAATATTTGTAGTATAGAGATCAAAACCAAAAGTAATTTGTTTTGTGGGATTTGGCCGAGGTTAGCGGAACCCTGTAGGAAATAAAAATTAAGCAACCAACCTCAGAACCTAAACCACTTTTAACGATGACCTTCCAGCCCAGTCCTGCTTCACTGCTGCGCGAGATTCAGCCCTAACTCACTTTGCAGTGTTAAGTGCCTTGAGCTGGGAGGTTGTCGAGTTGTGGCTGTTGGAAGGTCTTTGTGTTTCTGGCAAACTTTGGATCCTTCCTTGAGAGTGATTTATTCTGTTGCGAAGTTTCCAGCTGCAGCGTTTCCTCAGTTCCCCCGAGTGACCCAGAGAGGAAGGTGCCTGCACAGTGGGGAGCCCTGCCCGGCTGGTCTGGGAGACCCGCCGTCAGTGGGTCCCGCACCCCCCCAGCCCCACTCACACCCACCCGGTCCCTTTCCCCATCTGAAAACTTGGGAGAAATAAAAATTGGTTCATCTACACAGAAAGGTGCCGCCCACCGTGTCCTTTGTAGTTTTCCTTCTGCCTACATCCGTGCCAGGGTGTTTTTTGGCTTTAAACTGTTGCGAGGAGGTTGACTGGGCTTGTGCTTTAGTCGCGTGTCCATTGGG